TTGTAGAGAAACACTTGTCTGATTACGGTCAACAAAAGTTATTTATTATTTATATATTAAGGTGAATTAAAGTTGCTCAGGATCACAGATGTTCCTTATTTAATGCTTATAATCAAATCATTCAAGTGTCAGATATTTTCTACATAAACAATCACCACCTACTATATTTATTGATCTTAACCAGCTTATCACTATTAATTATCTCTTATCACTATCTCCCTGACTATTTATCTCTCTCTCGCTCTTCAGTTTCTCTCCACCGCTCTCAAGAACCATCAACTACTCCCCCCCCTTCTGTCTCTTGCCAAGCCTCTTATCTCTGGTGACTTCATCCCTCCTCTCCACCGCTCTCAAGAACCATCAACTACTCCCCCCCCTTCTGTCTCTTGCCAAGCCTCATCTCTGGTGACTTCACCCCTCCACTCCTCTCATAGGCTCATGTAAATGAGACTCTGAATGTGATTGACAGGAGTGAAGTGGGGCGACTGCCACAGACATCCTTCTGTCAAACCCAGCCCTTCTATTTGGAAAGCTTGGGAAGATATTATCATGAGGTGCTGCTGGCCAAAGGTGCCTTATGTGTATACAAGCTCAACAAGCTTCCCGCCATCACTGACTTTTCCCTTGGGAATGGAGCTGGAACATTTGCCACATTTACCAAAAAGTATATTTGTCCTCAGATTGTGATGTCCAACAGTACACAGCCATATCAGCCCTCTGTGAAAAGAGTAGGTGCAAAGCTACCTGATGAGTCATTCATACATGGAAGTCAGTTCAGATGTTGAACATGTATGTGCTCATACACCTAGAGAAAGTAAATAATTATTTGTTTTATTTATTGTTTAATTATATTCATATCCCGCCAATCTAGTGACAAAGCACTACTCTGGGCAGCTAACAACAATGGAAAACGCAGGCCCACCCACCAACTACAAACACACAAATAATAAAAACCAGCAAAGGAAAAACCTCAGAGGCAATGGCAAACAAAATTCAAATTACAACTCATGGATCCATGATAGCATTACAGGGGGAGGATCTTCCTGAAGGCCTCTTTGAAAAGCTCATGTTTCACATGTTTCCTGAAGGTCAAGAGGGAGAGAGCAACAGGCAAATAGTTCCAAAATGTTGCAGCCTCCACCAAGAAAACCTGATTTCTGGTAGTGATTTTCAAGGCCTTCCTTGAGGTGACTGGCCACAACCACAAATCCTCAGTAGACCAGGTAGCACAGGTTGACAATTTTAAGAGAGATGCTCTGACATGTTGCAAGGTCCTAGCCCGTTAAAATGACCTTGCTACCTTAATTGTTAATTATAGCAGTTTCATGCTATTTATTTCTGTGCTATGAGCTCTGACAAGTTTTTCTTCACCCTCTTGACTATGTTTCATTCTAATTTAGTGGTTTTCTTTATTCTCAGTGTAACTGCAGTTTGTATACTTTATTAACTACGTACATAGAGTAAAATGTAATATATGTGTTAAGAAACCTAGTTTTACTTTGCTTTGCTTTTTTAAATCTAAAAGAGGATTGCATTACATGTAAAAATCACATAAATACATGTCCTTCAGGTCTCCACCTAAGTTAAAGGTTTCTGAAATGTGATACTCAGTGGAAAGCTTAATTCGGCAGAGATGAACACAACAGACACACCAAATCTTGCAAAGTCAATAGCAGGTGATGTGCTTCTTTCCCCAAAGGGAGAGCACTATCTGTAATGTTCCATGAACACACACATGATGTTCTCAGACATCCATTAGGGCAGCCGTGGATATTCAGAATGCAACTCCCATATTAACCTGTTAACACACAAACATCCTTGCTCATCCCCACAATTTGTAAGCCTTTCCTCTGGCGTTCTGAGAAAGGAGTGTGTTTCACCTTAACAAACACTTTGTTTCCCACTTTTCCCTTCTGCTGCAATGAACTGCCATGCTATGAAACTAATGTGATACATACTTTATGATAGGAATTTTTCTAACACTGCAAAGTATATTCAAATATTGCAACAATAGTATATAAAAACAGTGCATTTTGAGCAGCCAATGCTGCTTGCAAGCAAAGCAAAAGACAGCTTTTATTCCATTCTGTCTCTCAACATATGCTTCATTTCAGATTTGTGGTAAATAATATTTTTCTAGAAATACATTCAATCTGGCCACAGTGGAACATGACAGCAGCCAACCACATAAACAGAACAGCTGGCTCTTTAGTTCAAGCTTACCTTTCAAAATATATTCTCTCCAAGCAAAAGAGAAGGGGAAAACAGCAGTGCTTTGCAGCAATTCGTTGTATCTCATTAATTGTTTTCTTCCCTCCCTCTAGGTTTTCGCGTTTTTTTTTTCCTACATTTTTCTTGACATATTTGTGCATTAGAGCTATTGTTTCTCCTTTAGACCATCTGAAGTGATGTGCTTATCCTAGGGGTGGCTGGGTGGAGCAATGTTGTACCACTCAAGAAAATGAGAGAAAAAGAGAGACTGGGCACAAGGAGATTGGGCATAACAACTCTGCTAACTGTATTGTACCTCCTACACTGGCCTCATAGATTTATCATCTGAGGAAGGTAGACGTGTGGAGGAAACTGCTAGTCCACCCTACTAGTGGCTGTATATGCTGCTCCAGGCACAACATCTTGAGATTCCACAAGATGTTTTGTTTCAAATGTCTCACATCTGACTGGAAGGAGAATACCTTGGTCTTTTAAATAGTGCCTTCCTGTGTGCTCTTTTTGTGCTTTTCTTGTCCAGTGGGTACAGAGAGTAAAGAAGTAGGGCCAGCAGAGAAGAACAGCCCCTCCAAATCTGATGGACTATATAGTACAGTCATTTGGAAGTTGAGTCATGGCAACTGGACTTCTTTCTTATTAGGTTGAAATGTTTTACTACACATCCAAGAAGCTTCTTCAGTCTGAGGAGCATTGGTAAGAAATCCCTGATATATCTCCTACAAACTCTCCTCAGACTAAAGAAACTACTTGGATAAACAGGGAAATGTTTCAACCTAATAATAGTACAGTCATATTGTCATTGTTACTCCATGCAACGAACAGGGAAAAAAGTCAAAGAAAAGAAGCTTGAGGTGGTCCCATGCAGCAAAAATGTAGAAGTTGAGGGAATCACATGAGTTACTTTGTAGATCAATTTCCAGGCCGTGGAATGTATCCCGATTTGGTCCAGAGGGATCTGTATCACATACAATTTGTGTTGTGCTAGTACTGAAGCAATTTCTAGTCATTGCATTGAAAAATCAAAATGGTCATAACAACATTTGTTTGCTCTGATGTATATGTGAACTTCTGATTTTCAACTAAACATTAGAAACATTAGAAAGACAAAGCCATTTGCCAATGGAATCTACTGCCTCAAAGCATGGTAGGCTCTCCTTCACTGAAGATTTTATGCTCTATGGAAATAAAAAAAGCCCTGCTCAGGCCTTAGGAACTAAAAGCTATGGTTCCTTCATTGAATCAATCCATTCCATCTTTAGTCTTCCTCTTTTCCTTTTCCCTTTCACTTTTTCTAGCATTATTGTCTATTTTAGTGTGTCATGTCTTCTCATGATAGCCCCAGCGTAGCTTTTTTTCACTGTTGGCAAGAATTCAAGCTCCATTTGGTCTTCAGCCCATTTACTTGTTTTTCTCACTTTCTATGGTATCCATAAAGCTCTCCTCCAACACTGATTTCAATGTATTCATTGTTTGTTTGTTTTTTCATGATGAGAACTTTTGGAGGTCAGTAATTCCTGCAAGTTGGAAGTGACTTGACAGAACATAACAACAACCCATCACAAATTGATTTGTGAATTCATTTCACTTTGCCATGGAACCAAGTATGTTGATTCCACTTTGTTCCAGACTTTATGCCAATCAGTCTGAATCAGGGTGATTTATTTCAGAATTTTTCATTTGTCTGTATCAGGTGTACATTGCTATAAAAAGATGATCAAGAAGTGAGGAGGTGGAGAGTCATCCCTTCTTCAAAGGCTCCTTCTCATGTCAAAAATAGAGTGTCTGAAAATTCAGCACAGTACAGGAATACTTTGATTCATTCTCCCTAAACATATGCTCATATATTCTGTACTATATGATGAAATATAATAGAATGTATACGAAATATGAGGGTTTGTCTTGTTTATTTCCATCTTCCTCCAATTTACAGCCTGAAAAAGCTGGGTTTTTAAACTACAGCTTCCCAAATCCTTTACCCAAAAAGTGCATTGGTGAGTTCTGAGCACCCCAGTCACTCCTAATTAGATTAATTTCTGCCTTACTTCAATAATTATGCACATAATTGTTCTGGAAATTTAGCTGTGAGTAGGTCAGGTACAAAAGTAGAGCCCTTTAAATGTTCCATTCTCTTGTTGGTCTGTTCCTTGATTTTGAAAGCTGTCACGTACAGTATGGGTTTGTATACATATTTAAAGCTGAACTAGAACATAAAAGATATTGAAGCTGTTAACAGAACATTGTGATTCAAAAGCTTTAGTCAAAATGAATTGTCTTTCCACTGCAAATATTTGAAATATGTGTCAGCTGTTTTCTAGTTAAAGTGAAACCTTATATTTTGTAAAAGTCAATATAAACTGAAGAATAATGGTGAATTTTCATCTACCCGGCTAGAAGGTTGTTCAACTCAATTGCAAAATGGGCATGGATTTATTTGATGTATGCCAAGGTCAGGTAACTCGAATCAATTATGAAGAGATTGTGTGTAGCCCTTCCTTTGCTAGTCATTATTACAGTCTTGCTACTTTAAGGAGACCATGCAGTGTGAGGTTGTTTGTTTTCTGTGCTAAGAAGAAGGGATGAAATATGTAATCGTTCTTCAGTTCCATTTTGGGAATAGTCTTGTCAGCAGTTTCCAGTGGCATGTTATACGTGACTTGTTTGTACCCGAACAGAGCTTCAATCCATTTCCATTCAACTTCCTCCAAGCTCTCTTTTAAAAACAACAATAAAACAAACCCTTTTCTCTCTCTTTTTGTTTCCCTTAATTTCAGCAAAACCATTTCAAAGTGGACAGTATCTGGACATCTTTGGAATTACAAGAGACCAAGCTGGGGAATATGAGTGCAGTGCTGAAAATGATGTCTCAGTTCCAGATGTAAAAAAAGTAAAAGTCACAGTAAACTGTAAGTCATGTTTATGAGTGTGTGAGTGTGTGTTTGTGTGTGTAAGAGAGAGAGAGAGAGAGATGGAGGGAGGGAGGGAGAGAAAGAGAGAGAGAGAGACTCTGTATATGGATAAGTATATAGACTGGTATGTATATTTGTGTAGAACCATAGGAATTAATATTATGATTTAAAGAACTGTACAATAGGACCTCCGTATCTGCAGGATTAATAACTGGAGATTCATATATCCACGGTCTGAAAATATATTAAATGAAATAACAAACCCACAAATGTATATTTCCAGGATGTATTACTACAAGTGGCTACTGGAGGGCTATGGTCCACAACAGTGTGCTTTTGTCAAAACTTCTGGAGAGACTGTGTTATGGTACTTGTCCCACACCACAATACTGCTCCCACCCCGTGAACTTTTATTCCACCCAGTGAAACAGTTAGAGTGGGCTTAATTTTAGGATCTTTCTCACTTACCTGGCCATCATAGCAGGTAAGCTGATGTTTCATGCTTTTCTGTGCTTCAGCATACATATTCCAGTACTGAATCCTGTCTTTCATGCCATAAAGTTTCTGGTCCAAGTCTTGAAATCTTTAGCCCTCATTATATTGTCATTAACAATGACTACAGGTTGCATCTTCACACTCTCACACAAGAGCAAGATCTAGTGGAAGCATCAGATGCAGTCTTCTTTCCCCACTGCAGCCCTCCAAGTGCCTCAAAATTGTTTCTAAATAGCCCAAGGGATTCCGAGTGAGAGGGTGACAATCCCAAGACTCTGTATAGGGTTGTATTGGATTTAGGCCTTTATTCCCCCATCCTTTTGTTAATTTTTTCAGAATGTGTGCAAGGAAAGGGGGAAAAATGGATTCAGTGGGGGGGGGGAACCTTCCTGTGTTCCACACATATGCATGCATGTTACAATGGAATGTTTTATTAATAGCTATCAGATTTCCAAAAAGTATCATTCCTATTCCATGTATCATCCCTATTCCACGGAAGTGGAAAAATGGCAGCCACTAGCTGAAAGGAGAAGCAGTAGCAAAAGGAAAGGATGAGGGAGGGATTAAACTAGTTAAATCTTGTACATATATTACAAGGGAACTACCAGACATTCTTTTTTTTTTAATGGATTAATCCAACAGTTTTGTTACATTTTGCATTTAAAGGACTACAGCTACATGGAATGAAGTACACAGTGAGTGCTATTCACAGAGGCCTTCCACACAGGCACATTGTGAGTTGGTTTCAACAAGACCTGCACAAAGTATTGCACATTTGTCTCACACAAATAGTGCAACACCAAGCAAAGCTACTCCTGAGTAACTTTATGTTATGCAGAGACATGTAGAATTCCAGCTATAGAAAATGTATGTTCCACAGCCTAATGTATAAAGTAGTTTATTTATTTTATTTTAAAATAAATAGAATAATTAATTAAATAAGTAAACATGGACAATGTGCTTCCCTCAGGATACATGTCATCTTCCACTCCCCTGGGGACAGTCCTCCCATATGCTTCCTAAATTTTAAAAAAATGCTCCAAAATCTCTCCTGATTCCTCTAGGAGGCATGGACGAGGGGAAATTTACAACATTTTACACACAACAAACCCCTTTTCTTTGTTTTTCCCCCCGTAAATTCAGCTAGCAGGCACAAGGGAGTTGGTGTAATTTTTTTCTAAGTAAAATTTAGAAGGATGTGATGGTGTCTCAGGACCATATATGGCCCTCCAAGCTTCAGGAATGGGCCTGTGTGTGCCCTAGATCTCTACATGTTACTCGCCACTGCTATAAAGGTTTCTTGCATCCAGCCAGAAAGCAGAATTGGAGGAGGCCTGTGTAAGTGATGCTGATGATCTAGAAGAAGTAATTCTATTAATGAAAAAATTGACACCTCCTAATTGCAAGGGCTGATTTCAGAATAGCAACTTTGTAAACAACATTGTAAATCAACATAATTGCAGGTATAATACACAGCAGAAAATGTAATTTAAAGGATAAATGAAATCATAGGGCATCAGATGTAGTAACTCTACACATTTCCATAAACTACAGGTCAAATGTGATCTTCATCTATTCCTCTTCCTCTCTCTTCAGTTTCCTCATTTCTCTGAAGTTTACCATGCTGACATTATGTTAATAGACACATATCTACACCAGACTGTGAATCTTCTGTACTGGTCAGAGAGCCACATAGCACTTTCTTTGGGAAAATGGGCTGATATCTAAGAGGTAGATTCTGTTTCCAGAAGCCAGTTCTAAGAGTGGAAATAGCATAGGCATCCTTCAGTCTCGAGAGATTATGGTAACATGCTCTGCATTGAGGAGTGTCCTCTCCAGAGCATGAAGCCCGGGTAAGGTAATATGGAGGATAGGCTGTTACCCAAGCAGCAGATCCTCCCTCTCCACATAGCTGAAATGGTCCAATGGAAAGGCAAGAGCCAATACGACTGGTTCCGGCAACGTCGCAGGAGTTGGCACAACGACACATGCTGCCTTCGGGACTCCAGCTCCGGATTTTGCCTCGAGGTTAACTCCTGAAGCCTTTTCCATGAGTGGATATAGCCACAAGGCAGTGGAGGTTTGAAATTGGAGTTTTCCTTCTCCTAGATGGGCTGCCTTCCATGGCTGACGAGCCCCACCTACCCGGCCTGCTCTTTAATAGTGCAAAAGTATGATCTGATCCTACTGGAGATAGAAGAAGGCAATATTCCCTCCCCTCCCTCTTGGGCCCAAAAAAAAACCTGTTGCAGGGGGTTGGGAATCTCCCCAACCAGTTTTCAGGATCTCAGAGGAAGATAGTGGTGAGGAAAGAGGAAGAAACCCCCAGTGCTACTGTAAACATCGCAGTTAAATCCAGCCTTTAGCCCCTATTATGTTATAGAATCTCTTCAAGCTACATTAAATATGATCCAGTCTGTTTGATTCACAGGGATTATACATCAGCTTTGGTCCCCAGATGTTCTTGGACTACAACTCCCAGAAACTATGGTGATGGGCTGAACTGGTTTCTGGGACTTGTAGTTCAAGATAAACTAGAGTCCCAAGTATGGACAGCACTGTTATGTGTTTGTATTCATTTCATTCATTCTTTGTTGTTGTTTAGTCGTTTAGTCATGACTGACTGTTCGTGATCACATGGACCAGAGCACGCCAGGCCCTCCTGTCTTCCACTGCCTCGCAGAGTTTGGTCAAACTCATGTTGGTAGCTTCGATGACACTGTCCAGCCATCTCATCCTCTGTCGTCCCCTTCTCGTCCTACCTTCACACTTTCCTAACATGGGTGTCTTTTCCAGGGAGTCTTCTCTTCTCATGAGATGGCCAAAGTATTGGAGCCTCAGCTTCAGGATCTGTCCTTCCAGTGAGCACTCAGGGTTGATTTCCTTTAGAATCGATAGGCTTCTTCTCCTTGCAGTCCAGGGGACTCTCAAGAGTCTCCTCCAGCACCACAATTCAAAAGCATCAATTCTTCGGTGGTCAGCTTTCTTTATGGTCCAGCTCTCACTTCCGTACATCACTACAGGAAAAACCATAGCTTTGACTATTCAAACTTTTGTTAGCAAGGTGATGTCTCTGGTTTTTGTTGAGGTTTGTCATCGCTTTCCTCCCAAG